AAATAGAAGCCGAAGCCTTCTATTCGGCTGTTCTTCCAACCCGACACGACTCCTCTTCTCGTTCCGCTCTTCCACGCTCGATTCGCACTACCTCTCCTCTCCCGCTCGCCACTCTCCCTGTGCCGACACCAAAGCCAAACCCCGATCGGAAGCTCCAACCCGACACGACTCCTCTGCTTCCGTCGCTGCTTCCACCTCCCTCTCCCATTCGCAAATCTTCCGATCCTCTCCACCTCTTCCGAACTCCACGCAGGCCGAGAGAGAGAGAGAGAGAGAGAGAGAGAGAGAGAGAGAAAGAGGAGTTCGCATACCTTGCCCTAGCTCCGAATTCCTCCCTGCCGTCCGACTCTATACCCGACTTCCTTCACTGTCGGATCGGAAGTTGCTACATTTGATCGGAAGCAACTACAGGGAGCTGCAGTGAAGGTAAAATCTCCCTTTCGGGAGCCTCTCTCGGCCAAATCCCGTAAATCCCCTCAACCGAGAGAGGAGGGATTTAATTAATAAATTATTATTATTATGATTATTTAGTTAATAATGTTTATTATAATTAATTTTAATTAAATAGTTATAATTAATTTTTATTAATTATAATTAATTTAATTAGAATTAATTTTAATTAATACATCTTAATTATATGTTTTGAACTCTATGTTTCTTTTTATTTGTATTACTCTAAGATGGAAAACAACCCATGATCATGTTTGGATTTGATGCTCTTAGATAATTTCTCTCCATTGGCTTTCTAGTTATGCTAAATTTTCTTCTGTGCTCCTTGGTGGCTAAATGGATAATTAATTTTGGGTTATTTTTCCTTATTGGGCTTAACATATTTCTTCCCATGTTGACAGGTTCCTTGGTGTTCCCCATGCTAGTCCCGTTTTACTTATTGCTAGCTTTTCATATGCGGGTTATTTTTCCCCATGTGACTATCCCGTTTTCTCTATTACTGGCTTTCCCTATGCGGGCTAATTTTCCCCATTATGCAGTCCCGTTTTTTCCCTGTTGCTAGCTATTCAATTTCCACCTTGTTGTTTTTCTATACTAAGTGTATTAACTCATTATATGAGCTAACTTGAGAGACTTCTATTAGTTGTTTGGGTGAAATAATTAAGTGAGCAATTTATGACCATTTCCCCCTTCTTCTTCTATAAATATGGGTTGTTTTGTTGCTGGTGCAATCACTAAAACCTGTGGGTTACTCAGCTTACAAGCTATCTTCTTCTACTTCATCTCGGTCTTCTATCTACTCTTCTCTCCACGGTTTCCCTTCCACTTGTATATTTCTTCTCTAAATATTGAGAGTTTCAAGGTGTTATTGTGCCACATTTGTTGGTGTTTTCCAGAGGAGGCTCAACTTGAGTTGGACCATAATTTATGTGGCGAACCACTGGTTTTATTTTTTCCTTCGAGCGCCATTCTTTATTTTGGTGATTTACATGTGAGTTGACCTTACAAGGTTGTTCTGAGGGTATTTTAATTTAGTTGTTTGGTTTTTTTGTGTGCCTTCTTTTCAATTTTCTAAGTTTCGTTTCCTACTTGGTTTCCAATATTTGTGTATATTTATTTTATATTGAAAGGGGGCATTATTAATTGCATTTCTAGTGTTCTCTTACTTGTTTAGAACCTAGTTAGCATCATATCCTATATATAACCAACTCAGCCTTCATTGCTGCCTTGCTTGATATAGTCTTCATCGTTGCCCTTTGCCGCATCAATGTTTGAAGCAAATTCCTCCCAAAACTTTGACCAAATGCAGGACTCTATAGTGCACCAAGGAAGAGATCTCCAAAATATGCAACATCCCTATTGCTTAAATGGGAAAAATTATTTGAACTGGTCTCAATTTGTGAAGACCTATTTGAAAGAAACAGGTAAACTAACTTGTAAATCGGCACCAACACCAGTTGAACCAAATCTTAAATTGGAGGAAGCTAAAGAAGATCCTAATGTAGATAAAGGAGCTTACCAGAGACTTGTGGGAAAACTGATCTACCTTTCCCACACCATACCAGATATAAAATTTGTTGTAAGCATGGTCAGTCAGTTCATGCAAAATCCAAAGCAGACTCACAGGCAAGCTATTTACATAATACTACAATATCTTAAGGGAAACCTAGGTAAAGAGATTCTCTTCAGAAGAGATTGTGGAATAACCCCAGAACATATGCTGATGCAGATTACGTAGGATCACAAATAGATAGAAGATCTACCTCAAGATATTGCACATTTCTTGGAAGAAACCTTATTACATGGAGAAGCAAGAAACATAATATGGTGGCAAGATCTAGTGTAGAAGCAGAATACAGAGCTATGACCTTAGAAATATGTGAGCTACTTTGGATCAAGATAATTCTAGAAAATTTAAGGATCAAGTGAAAAGATGAAGCTACACTGTGATAACAAATCAACAATTAGCATAGCTCACAATCCGGTTCAACATGACAGGATCAAGCATATAGAAATGGACAGACATTTCATAAAGGAGAAATTAGACGATGGTATTATATGTATCGATCATGTTTCATCAAAAGACCAACTTGGAAATATTCTTGCCAAGGGACTCAATAACTCTATCTTTCTAGCATTGATTATCAAGCTGGGAATGATGGATCTGTATTCCCCAGCTTGAGGGGGTATTAAATCCAAACCGTCCCTTAGCATTTTAATCCCATAGCTAGGATGGGAATCCTTTGTGACATTTGAATCGTTTAATCAATTCACCTTTGGGAACATTTTAGGATCTCAGTTTAATAAGCTTATTGGATCTCACAAGCTAATTGAACAACGCGTGACTTCGGCGGTGATACCCAGCTTGAGCTAGCACATTTACCAAACTTTGGCCATACAATTTTATAAAATTCGGTGGTGGCAATCTGGAACTAGGAATAAAGGCATTTTGGCCATACAATTTCATAAAATTCAAATTTAAGTCAAATGTTGCAAATGAGCTTGATTAATGAAGAATTTAATGTGAGTACCAAAAAAGAACCCCTTGAAAAACCAACATTTAACTACAGAACCAATTTATAGGTCAGAAAGGCTTTAGGAACCAAAATAGAGAATTTCTAAAAATGTAGGCCACATTAACCATGGTATATGACGTGGGGATCAAAGAGTATTTATCTTTCCAAAATCCAACATTTACAGTTGGGTGGGTGTCTACCTTACCTTCTTCCAATTTTGCTGGATAGTGAATACTTGTTGCATAGAGGTAATCTACCACCCACTAAAGATTGGACATAAACCAAAATACATATAGCAGTGACATCAAAAAGGCACATATTTCAAACAGCATAAAAAAACTAACTATACTAACCACTCCATTGGATCCCTTTCTGGAGCATCATTTGCTGACATCAAATCATAGGACTTGAGAACGAGTCTCTGGTCATTAGCAACTTTATACAATAGCCAGCATCCTGTGGATATGATAAAAACCATGTGATCAGACTAGGGAAAAGTTAAGTTGCTTACACTCAAAGAGAGAAATGGTACAGCGTAGTATGTACATGACATATCAACAAGAAGCACAGTTTTTTTAAGACAGATGAATAGAGAAATCAATTGTTTAACATGTCAAGATTGGCTAGTTAAGTGTTCACTAGTAGCTAAAAAAGGACCTTATTATGAGCAGGTTAGGAAAATAATTTATCAGTAGAAAGGTAAACTTTTTTTTTTATTAGCTACATCAAAATCCTACAAAAGATCCTTAAAAGAAGCTGAAAATTTTCATCCAATAATATTTCAGCTTCAATTTCAGAAGATAAGAAGTAAATTCAAAGCATACAAACTCTTATTTCGGGGAAAAAAACATAACAGTTCAATCCACAGAGCAAAATCTAAAAATCTAGAGGGATGGCATATACATCTCCAAGTGCATTAAAAATACATTAAACAATAAATGTTTTAAAGTAAATTTCCTTCTGTGAGTGTTTAAGTACAAGTTCCCATAAGCCATTTCTCTCTTGGGCATGAAAATGATCAATTTTGATCGATTGCAAGATTCAAGAATGAATTAACAATCCATGAAGCACACATTAAAATGTGTAAGACCGGAAGGTTTAATACAAACCCATGAATGAGTTTCACCCTTACACAAGTATATAACAGATCAAAACAATAGAGAACTTGTACATTGTAAAACAAAATTCTCTACTAATGAGGTCAAATGATCAACCAAGAACCTTCTGATTCATCTGACAGAAACTATTTTAAAAATGGCATTTAAATTGTATTCCTGAAAGAAAATGAATACAAAAGTGTAGATTTAGAAATAGAAAACAAGTAACAAGAATATAGCATAACAAGGATATAATTAATATATATTAAAAGGGAAAAACGTACTAAAAGTAATAAAATTTTACACAAATGAAGTTGAGCCAACAAGTAAAGCTTAAAACAAGACGTTTGAGATAAGTAAAAGTATAGTAAAGAGCAAGTTTAAGTTACTTCGTAGAGTTCAGAACTTCACTTTCACTAGCACTACCTTTGGCTCCATTTGGTTCCACCCACTTAGTTATTCGAGAGCCATCAAATGCAGAAGTGCTCTGAAACCCATGCAGTGTTACCAGCAAAATAATGCAAAAAAGTTTAACATGGGAAAAGAATGGCAAATGTAAATCTTTCTAGTACTGCCACTTACGATTCCAACTGGGAGTTCTTCACCACTAGCCAGAACAAAACCAGATGATATTCTATCAAAAGTGGGAAATTGTGGTGCATCTTTACCACAATGTATATCAAAATTTTCAATTATTTCATCTACTAAATCCAAAGCAACCGGTAATGCTAAAGAAGTTTGAACTGGATCGTCAGCTAAAGAAACACATAGCCTACCATCACTCCCAAACTGATCCTTCAAGGAAAGAGCTGTACACAATTCTTTGAGGTAAAACAGGACTTCCTCTGAAAGCCTCAATGTTGAACTCAAAAACGCTTTTCGCTCTTTGAAAGGAGCAGCTCTCAGATCAACAAACAAGCTTTTAAGCGTCTGCAAAGCTGCAATTGCTTCACCTTTCGAAATAGCATTTTCATACTGGAAAGACAGAAGAAGCGCAAAGGCATTATAGATGTTAGTTACATGCACATCTACACATTTTCGGACTGGACATGAAGAAATGCTCAGAGAGTTTTGTTCATTTGAACCCAGCTCACGCCTTGCCATTCGCCATTCAACATCCCCACTCTGCCTCCCAGGTAAGCTCAATGAAGAATCAACCTGCGTATGCAGCCCACTCTCCAGTTCTTCTAATTCCTTCATATCACGATGCTCAAGTAATTTAGATGAATATCCAGCACGTAATTCTTTTGTTAGGGAAGAAAGAAAAACGGATGCAGAGCTTTTAGTGGTAATTTTACGCCTAGATAGGACCTGCCAAACAGCAATTTATAAAACTGAGGAACTTCTTAAGACCCCGATTGAATTTTAAGGGAAAGTTGGCACATGCAAAGAGATATTGTACCTCAGGCCACTTCCTCGTGTATCTTTTTGTAACATCACATACCCCATCTCTAGCTATAGCAATTACATAGTTTAATTTTTTATTCCAGCTTCATAAAAGAAATGTCCAATAGCATTGTTTCAGTAAATATTAAATTTGATAAAATGCACAAATCTGGACGTTGAAATAAAAGCAACTCCTTTTCAGGATGAGTGCAAGTTTGATATGATTTCATTGAAGAACAAGAAACAGGATTAGGAGAATACCCTCTCTCATACAGAAGTGGATTATCATATATTCCTTCACATGGATCAAGGTGCATCCACCTATACATGCTTCCCAGAAGTCAATAACATAAACTCTTCCAAACCAAGGCTTGAGAAGATTGGAGAAGAAGTGATACAATATTGCCATACCTTCCTAACAAATTTGAAAAACACTCCGTCCAAACATGATCCGTGAAATCCAATATCTGAAGGAAGAAATAAATCCAACTCTTAGCTTTTTTTTTTTCTTTGAAGCATGAATTGAGGGATTTGTAAATTTTTTATTGCATTATATAATTTATTAAGAATTCCTATAAAAGAGCAAAAGTCGTCATATTGTCCCAGCCTTACTTCTAGGGAAGATGGCTCACAAAGGATGTGTATTGATAGTAGAGCTATAAAGAAGATAACAAACAAATATATGTACCCTGTACCTAGGTTAGATGATTCGCTTGAACTTATTTCTTAAGCTAATTTTTTTTTTTCAAAATTGATCTCAAGAGTGGATATCATAAAATTTAAATATGAGATGTTGATGAGCAGAGACAACATCTAAGACACCAAATGGATTGTATGAATGCCCAATAATGCCTTTTGACCTCTCAAATTCACCTAGCACATTTATGGCATAGATGAATACAATTTTTAAGCCTTTTATTAGGGAATTCTTAATGGCATACTTTGATGATATATTGATTTATAATGGTAATGAAAGTATACACTTAGACGACCTTAGGATTGGCTTCAATAAACCAAGGGAAGAAAAACTCTATGTAAAGTTAAGGAAGTGTTTCCTCAATCAATATGAGTTAAATCTTCTCATGATTTATAGTCTCATTTAATGGAATCAAACATGATCCCACTAAAGTTCAAGCTATGAGTAATTGGCCAACCCCAAATATCTTCAAAGATGTTACAAGTTTTCCTGGACTAGGCCCTTAAACAGGAGATTGAAAAAAAAAATTAATTTGTAGTGGCTCGCTTCGCTCATCTCCTTACGAAATTCAATTGGACCCCTAGTGCATCTAAAGCATTCAATCAAGTTAAAATCCTGATTATCTCTTCCCACATACTTTGATTGCAATATTTTTCTAAAAAATTTGAACATATGATGCTTCTAAAATAAGTATAGGATGAGCCCTTAGTCAATATCATCCCTAGTTTTCTTCAGTGAGAAACTCAATGAGGTGAAATAGAGATATTCCAATTATGATAGGGAGTTTCATGCCATTATCCAATCCTTACAGCATTGGAGACACTACTATTGCACAAATAATTGATCTTAAACACGGATCACCATGCTTATAAACATGCAACAAAAATTAAACCATAAGCATAACAAATAGATAGAACGCTTCCAATATCACATTCATTCTCAAATATAAGCCTTGAATTGAAAATAGAGTTGTATATAGCATTCACTCTTAAAACTTCAAATCCCTCATTAAAGGAAGATTATCCTTCTAGTCCTACTTTTCACCTATTATATAATGAATTAAAGGATCAGCCATTCAATTTGCTAGACACTTTCATACTTGAGATGACTATCTTCTTAAGAAAAAATATTTATGCGTCCCTATAACTTCACTTCAGGATTTCATAATTCATGAGTTACATTTAGGAGGTGGAGCTGGCCATTTTGAGTGGCATAAAACCATATAGCTCTAGTGGAGAAGATATTTTATTGGCCTTCAATTAAATATGGTATCTAAGAGTTTTATTAGGATGTTAAACTCGCAAACAAACTAAGAACAACAACGTCATCAAGCCTTTATCCCATCACGTGGAGTTACATGAATCTTTTTTCTCGATTGTGTTATGTTAAGAGTAAATTCTCATTTAAATCTGATTAAAAAAACTCATTTCTAATATTTTCTAACTAAGTTGTTTTAGGTCTACCTCTACCTTCCTTAACATACGTCAAATCTAATACATCTACTCTCCTAACCGGCTCATCGGAAGGTTGACATTTTATGTGACCAAATCATCTTAGGCGACTCTCTCTAATCTTATTTTCCACTGGAGCTACTCCAACTTTTCCACATATATACTCATTTCGAATTTTGTCTCTAAAAGTGAAGCTACTCATCCACCTAAGCATCCTCATCTCTGCAACACTAAACTTAATTTTATGTTTCTCTTTTAATGGACAACATTTTACGCCATAAAACATTTCAGGTCTCATCACCATCTTATAGAATTTTTCCTTAAGTTTGAGGGGTAGTTTCTACCACACAATAGGTCCGATGCATTCCTCTACTTCAACCATCCAACTTGAATTGTACTAACAATATCCCCATCTATTTCACCATCAATTTGAAAAATAGTCTTGAGATATCTAAAACATGAACTTATTTTAATGATTTAATCACCCAAAGTCAAAATCCCCCAACTAGATCTACTCCAACAAAAACCTCTACACTCTAAAGTTAACCTCCATAATTCAAGTTTTCCTTTAACTCCCTCTATAGTCTAATCAACAAGAAGAACATCATCAGCAAAAAGCATACACATAAGTACATCCTCTTGCAAATGTCTAGTAAGAACATCCATGACTAAAGCAAAAAGTTGGGCATAAAGCTGATTTTTGATATAATCTAATTGAAATCAGAAAATACTTGGTCAAACCACCTTGTGTTTGAACGCAAGTAACATCTATTGTATATATATACTTAATGACTTGAATATAAACATTATTAATTTTTTTATTTTCTAGAACTCTTCAGAGCACTTATTATATGCTTTCTCTAAATTAATAAATATCATATGTAGATCCTCATTCTTCTCTCTATACTTCTCCATCAAACCTCTCAACAAATGTCTAGCTTCCATAGTAGACCTACCCGACATGAATTCAAATTAATTTTAAAAAATATTAGTATCATGTCGTAACCTATGCTCAATAACTCTATCCCAAAATTTTAATGTATGATACATTAACTTAATTATTTATAATTTGCACACTCATTTACATCACCTTTATTCTTAAAAAAAAAATCAACACACTCCACTCATCTGCCATCTTTTTAATTTTTAAAATAATATTAAAAAGTTTTGTAAGCCGAGAAATTTCTTCATCTCCTAAGCATTTCCACACCCATAATTGAATATCATCAGGGCAAATAGCTTTTCCACATTTAATTTTCTTTAAACTGAAACTCTATTATAAAAACCTCATAAAATAAGAAAAAAATTCTCTGGGCAGTGCATTATCTTCTATCTAATTTATCTTCTGAAGATTTGACTTGAAACCAAAATACTTTCATAAGAACCAGGCGCATATTTTTTAAGCCCACACTTAATACTCCATTTAAAAATTTCTCAAAATATTATTTTTCTTTATGTTGTCATCCTTAATTAAAATCCTACTATTTTTGCTTCAAATGCAACTAACTTGATCAAATTCTCTAGATCTCTCATCTCATCTTAGTTATTTTATATATATCTTATTTTCTTCTTCCTTAACACCTAATTAATTAATAAATCTTCAAAAGTTATAATTTTGTATATGCTCACTACTCTCTTTGTTAAATTTTTACCTTTTGTATAGTAATAAACCTCAATGGTATTTAGTTTTCCCAATCTTTAAATACTTATTAGATTGTTAATTTCATCATAAGTGCAGGTCATGTTTTTAAAAATTCACTTGAAGTAACCCTTCAATTGATAAAACTCCAACATCCCATACTGTTTAGTTAATTATTCCTTCCTTTTAACTTGTATAACACACAATAACTACAAGATTGATGTCCATCAGTCCATGCATACTTGATATGCATAATCATCAACATTGAGCCAAAATTTCTGCATTTGTACGCAACCAGAACCTAACACAAAACTTTCAAAGTCAATTCATTTCTAACAATCACACAAATAACAAAAGTGATTAGTTTCACAAAATGAATTATGCAGGATGTCATATTGTAAGGCAAAAGCAAAATACGTTAGGAAAACTTAAGGAACTCAAGTGGAATACACCAGCAAGTTATCATATTAGCATGCGAACAAAATAATCTTTGGAGGGTCCAAGAACTTAGAAAACATGTTTTGAAAAATGATGGTTTTACTAGATTCCGTCATTTTATAGAATGTATGCAAAAATCAAATTTGATTTCATGCAACACAAACACCATCAAAACCTCTAAAATGTGATGATTTCATTTACATACAAAATGAGTGAAAATAACATCATTATTTTTTAAAGAATGTTTTAATTACAAGCAATGAAATAAGCCGAAGATCACATTTGTACTTGCTAATGGGAAGCAGCTCAATAAGTAAGATAAACAGGCGAAGATCCTGGTGTAAACTAGTGAAGTGAATCTTTCAACCAAGAAAAGGGAGCACATTTTAATCATTCTTATCTATAGTCTGGCATAGAGAACTAAGACAAGATCCCAAGGGGCCAAATGACTTGGTCGTTTGATTGAGTTGGATGGAGGCCAACATCATCTTTAGGAACAGTGCCCAAAAACACCAATCTTGTGCCCTTCAATACAGCACAACAGAGATCACAAATACAAGGATTCCCATATCTTGTCCATCTCGGGATATGGGAATATGGTGTAGCATGGAACTCAAGAACATCTACACCCCACAATGTGTTGGGCCAATGGCTCACACAATCAAACACCAGTTGCCACAATACCAGAAGGCGGGTAACTTCATGATATAAAGTAACTTCAAGGATATAAAGTAGCATAAAACTCGTGAGTATCTACAACCACAATTTTTCGGGATAATAATTTGCAGTCCAACACCAGTTCACACAAGAGACCACAAGGTGGTCAAATTAATGAATGTAATAAAGATATACATTCAAGCATATTGAGTCAGAGAAATATCTCTGCATATGTGATTTAATGTAACACAACATTGTTAAACTGTGGAATGCCATTTTATTGCTTTGATAAAGTTTTAATGATTGGAAAACGTGTGCAGTCCATTACATTTGTTTAGATTATGTTAGTGTTATCATTTATTTCAGGAAGCTAAATGCAATTCAAATTTTGACAATTACAACTAATTAACATGGTGCTTCTCAAAAGCAGTGGATAAATAAAAGAATATTAACCAACTTTAGCTCACTGACCAGGCGAGTTTCATAGCCAAAAGCTCGACAATAAAGTGTGAAGCAATTAGCCCACTCTCCACAACGGCCTCTTCTTGTTTCCAGAAGCTAGTTCAGCAAAGTATTGGATCAAAGAGAATTGATGACAGGATAAGCATGTCATAGGAAACAACACTTAGGCGACTTAGTATAAGAAATATGTCCATACCTTTAATGGATCATTGTATCGTGGAAAACGAGTAATGCACGAACAGAAGTTACACCTGAAATACATTAGCAGTTGAAACTTTGAGAAGTATCATTGCTTGATAAGTATTCCATCCTCATAACACTGGCAATGCTTCCTTACATGGCTTTAATACTACTTATTTCTTTCAAAAACTATGTCCCTAGCACAAAGAGAATCCATTAAAGAGAAATCCGTAGCATAAAGAAAATCCAATAGCAACATTGACTTTGTTATTGCATAGAAATGTATCATGAAGCTATTTCTTCTGAGGTTAAAAAGAAAAAAATCATCTTTGAGTGAGGCAATTCAAGCTTACAAGCTTATCATTTAACTTCAAAGCTTATTAATTTAAAACCTTTGTTTATCTTTGGGCCATAAATTCTTTAAGCACATAAATATAAGTGACTTAAAAGTATCATACTAAACTATTATACAATAACAGAATACCATAGACTATGAAGGACAATCAAATGATAAAAATTTAAAAGCTATAACTATACCGATTAAAAAATATGGATTCAAGGGTTGTGTTACAAAAGGAGTTATTAATAACTACTATATGTGCGGTGGAATGAGAATATAAAGATTGATATGCTGTAAAATTAAGGGAAAATAGTGTACCACAATTTAGAGTGATGGCACAAGAAGGACTATTGAAGATAGGAGGTGAAAAATAGATTCAAGTGGTTTGAAATATAAAATGAAGAGAAGAAGATACACCACCAAGGACTACGTAAATAGAGTTACTGTAGAAGGATCTGGAATGAAAAAAGTAGAAAAAAGCTAATCAATTTAGAAGGAATGCAAAAAGACCTGCATGAATTAGAGTTAGCTTGTTAGCAACTCATGATGTATTCAACAAGAATGAATGGAGCAAAAGACTCATGATGCATGCTATACCATCAATCACTTTCAGTAGTTAAAAACTTCATGCTTCGTTAATCCATATCAATGCACATTAGTATGGGTAAGGAATATTTAATATCAAAAGAAATGAATGGTCAAACAGTGGGAAAAGGCCAAACATCAAATTAACTTTAAAAAATCAGTCTTAAAGATATCAATCTCTGCTTACCTGTAAAGTTCAACACGAGAGGCCCCAAACATAGTTTCGGAGGGAAGTGGAGCACCCATACCAATATTGCTTGTTGCACGGCCACAGTTATCACAAGGGGGCGCATTAACCCAACTGCAAAAGTAAGCACACAACAGGAAAGTCAGGTAAAATGACAGTGCAGATAATAATCCAGATTTACAAATTCCTCTTTGAGTAAGAAAGAAAAATTAAAGAATAAAATAGCATATAAATAGGGAAAAAACAGTAAGTCTCAAGCAGGCTCAATCTTTTTCCTATAAATTTATATTTCTTTACGGAAAACTACTATAATAATTTTTTGCTTAAAATTTGACAATAAGTCAAAACTCCGGTAAAATCATAATAGTACACACCCAGATCAAAACCTCCCAATGCAACACAGCACAAGCTACGTCTAATAGATTCTTCAATCTGCTTTCATGATATTCCAAAATTCAAACAAACTCCCCTACTCATCCGATAAGGATTTAATTTCCAGTTTTAATGCATAGCGTATTTGGCATGTCTTCTGTTAACTAATAGTGAATTCTAAATTGTATTTTTTTTTTTTTTTTTGAAAGTGAAATTGCATCCTATTAGTGGCACAAAATTAAGTTAGAGATTGCACGAGTTTTTGTGCATGTGTATGCCAACCATTACATTCTCCTAAGTAGGTAATGTACTATTGGGGAATGACTACATCGAACCAAGGGGTGATATTCCGAGCTCTTATAATGCTCTTTAATCAAAATTATTACAATTTTTATTGTTAAAAAAACCCAGCAATCTTGTCAATCCAACTTTACTATTAAATATATCCTAATAGTCCTGTACATATAATTTATATTTCTAATTTCTATTCTAATAGTAGCTATTGATATTAGAATATTGCAAAAGATATACTTAGTGGTATAATATTTTAATAGTAAAATATTTAGTGGTGAAATCCAAATGTGCAAAAAAATATCAAAAATAAAAAAAACTTTGTTATAAAAATTAGTTTAGATGTAAAACCTTATAAAATTGAAAAGATATAAAGAGGCTCATAAGGAGTCTAAGAAAGTAATATGCAATGCAAAGAATTCAACTTTTAATGATTTCTATAATATATTAGATACTAAAGAGGGTGAAAAAAGTATGTATATGTTAGTCAAGCAAAGAGATAAAAGTAAGAATTTAATTCAAGTGAAGTGCATTAGGATGAAGATCAAAAGGTGTTTTTATTAGAAGAGAAATTCAACAAAGATGGATAATGTATTTTGATAATTTTTTTAATGAAGATTGTGAGAATACGATTCACTTTAATGACCTTAGCACCCAAAATAAAAATATTTTTTTTTTGTTTTTATCGTCATATTAGTAAAACCAATTTTAGAGAGGCTTTGAAGAAAATGAAGAGAAGAATATGTCAGATGAGTGGAGAAGAAGTATGTTAATTCTGACTTTTAAGAATAAAGGTGATGCTCAAGAGCGTACGAATTATAGAAGAATTAAGTTAATGTGTCATACATTAAAATTATGGAAGAGAGTTATTGAGCATAAGTTACAACGTCATACTAATGTTTCTCAAAATTAATTTGGATTCATGTTGGGTAGGTCTACTATAGAAGCTATACATTTAATGAGAGATTTGATGGAGAAGTATAGAGAAAATAAGGAGGATTTGCATATGATCTTTATTGATTTAGAGAAATTCTATGATAAAAGAAGTGCTCTGGAGAGTTCTTAAAAAGAAAGGGGTTAATAATACTTATATTCAAGTCATTAAGGATACGTATGCAACAGCTATTGTGTTCAAACACAAGGTGGTTTAACCAAGTATTTTCCTATTTCAGTTGGATTACATCAAGGACCATCTTTAAACACATATCTTTTTTACTTTAGTCATGGATGTTCTTACTAGACATTTACAAGAGAATGTATCCTGGTGTATGCTTTTTACATATGATATTCTTCTTGTTGATACTAGAGGAAGTTGAAGGAAACTTGAATTATGAATATCAACCTTAAAGTCTAAAGGTTTTCATTTGAGTAGATCTAAAACCGAATAAATTGAGTTTAATTTTAATAGTAATAGATCTAGTGAGGGATTGTGACTTTGGAGGATCAAGTAATTAAAAAAAATACACGTTTTAGATATCTCGGGTTTATTATTCAAAGTGATGGTGAAATGCATGGGGATATTATTATCTATTAGTAGACTCCACATTGGATGGTTGAAGTGGAGGAATGCATCGGGCCTACTATGTGACAGAAAAGCCACTCACAAACTTAAGTGAAATTTCTATAAGCTGGTGGTCAAACCTGCAATGCTTTATGGTGCAGAATGTTGATCATTAAAAGAGAAGCATAAAATTAAGTGTTGTTGAGATGAGAATGCTTAGGTGGATGAGTGGCTTTACTCTTAAAGACAGAATGCGAAGCGAGTATATAAGTGAAAGGGTTGGAGTAGCTTCAGTGGAAGATAAGATTAGAGAGTGTCGCCTTAGAATGTTTAATCAAATAAAACGCCGGCCTTCTGATAACATGGTTATGAGAGTATGTATATTAGATTTGACCTATGCTAAGAAAGGTAGAAGCGTACCAAAAAAACTTGGTTATAAAGTATTAGAAATTATATTTTTTATTAGATTTAAATGAGAGTTTGACTCTTAACAGAACACAATGGGGAAAAAAGATTCTTGTTGCCGACCACACCAAGTGGGATAAATGCTTGATGTTGTTGTCATTGCTGTATTAATCATGTAAATAGAATCGAAATAATAAAACTTCAATAACAATGCCACACTTGAAAGGTCGCAATAATTTGATACCTGCAAAGTACAAATGAATTAAATTAAGAGTGAAAAAATCTAGGAAATTCTAAATCAATGTCAATTATTGTGCTCAAGGTGTAAATGTAAACAAAACTAACATTACAGTTTATGAGTCCCCATATAAAATCATCATCTTAAATAAAATTGGAAGTAGTAAAACTTTACAAACTCATAATCAAGTATAGAGTCCGAAGTAATTTTTACACAAACAAATACGATAATAGTGTGAAGCAGGTATAACATAATATATGTAGTAAAAACAAGTGTAGAATTTGTAATATGAATATCATTGTGTGCATAGCAATCTCATAATTAGAAAGCTTCTCATAATTGGCCATAAATGAAGCAAATCAAGAAATAAATATACTTCAAAAGGGCAAAAAAATCAATCTTTAAACGACACCCAGCAGCCAACAAAATACCCAAAAGTCGTCATAAGCAGGCAAAGACATAGGCTCGCTCTAATTAGCAGTAGAAAGAGCGCTTATAGTTCATATTCAATGTATAATACTCTCATATTTATTAAAATTATCCCTTTACGTATCTCAAGTTGACCTTTCAATAGTGAATTTTTATTAATATAAAATTTGTAGTTTTAGTTTATATTAAATAGCACATATTTTTCATTCCAGGTTATAGAAAAAATTATTTATGATAAATGCTCTTATCAATGCCTATATTATACGTATCCTGTAGTTTACTTACTAAAGTAATCAGAAGGGTCCAAAACAACCATTCAACTGAGGGGCTTGAAGCTGAACAAGGAGGAAAAGCCAACATAACCACTGCTACAACCAGGTTTCAACAAAATGTGAAGGAAGGTAGTTTAAAAACAAATTAGAAATCAGAAAACTTTTAATATTATCTAAGGTTTTGCAGTTGCAACCTAAAGTAATCAACATGAAATGGGGTCAATATAAAACTATTCTCGCATCACGAGGATAATCCAAAGTATGGAACTTCTGTTTTTTTTTTTCACAAAAGAAAACCAATAAAAACAAAGAAATTAAAGCTTAGAGAATGAAAAATACTCCAGAAAAATAGGCATTAATGTAAATTCACAATTCCTATGTATAAACTGAAAATTTTCTACCATAAAAGGATGTTTCCAACTAATGAATCAGAGTGCAGACTCTTATGAAAACTGGCTGAAATTGGAACAATATTTCCCTTGCTGAATTATATTCACGTATAAGAGCACAGAATCATGGATACATGCAAAAAATTATATTTCACCTGAATGATTGCTTAAACGATATCAGCAGTTGCAACAAGAAACTGTGGTCTTCCTCGTCTTTTGAAGGTTTAAAGTTGCCCTCCTATTCAAAGTATTTTTCTTTTAAGTTCATGCCAAATAATAGGACAACATAACCTTCCGTAAGGTATCACAGTAAATCACAGAAAACATACTGTAAAGCAAATCTTAAAATTTGCAACTTCTCTTTCTTGAATGAGTGGGGTTACATATTTTATATAACGTTCTAAATGAAAGGAAAATCATAGACATCTGGCAGATTATGGTCCGAACATGAGTATAAAAGCTGCAAAGGAGCTCAATCAAAGAATTTGATGGTAAATTATATCAGATGATAGGGTATGATCAACAATTAATAAATCATAATTTGCATTCCAAAACTTAACATACTTTGAGTTGAATTCAACATCTAAGATACTGAAGCTTAAGAGTGAGGGAAAATACTTCAGAAATTTTTATTTTCCTGATAAGTAATTATACGAGTTAATCATATACAAATTGGGATGAAGAATTGTCACCAATCATTTTCAACACAGTCATTCTTAGCCCACAAAATCAATTGAGTGATAAAATTTGAGTTAGTATCATGTCATTGTGATCAAGCTAACAATTCAAAGAGACAAGGATCAAACCTCATGGCAATTAACTGATAACATTTTTATTGCGACCTTAGGCTGGGCATGCCAATATATGAATTGACAAAACCAACGGAAACGTTAAAAAACAGACAAGCATGTTCACACAACAACAGTTTTTTACAGTTATGCAAATTTGAATATGCAATAGCATGTCATGTCATCAACTATAAAAGAAGTTAGCACTCCAAACAATATAAGACTAAAATCATACATTTCTACCCAAGACTCTATCTGATAATTTGTGTAGTGATTTACAAAATAAAGTTCGAACTGCCCTCTTCACTCCCTCTTTTTCTTTGTCATGTTTACTTCATCCTCCTGCTTAGCACTTACCTTGCTTAGCCATCTTCACTTTTTCTTGAAAGCCAACGTATTTTTTTCCATCAAACCTCATATGAGTAGTCAAAAGGTCACTATCCCTGATTTTTTTTAGAACAAATACACACAGGCATCCATTTTCATCTTCCTTCATGCCATCCTTTAGGCTGTCACTAATCACCTTTTTTCCATAATTGCTGTAAAACTTGATTGAGCTGAATTACACATAAATATCATAATGGGAATCGATTCCCTATCCTATCACTTTGCTCACGCCCCCACATTGTGAAAATCATTTACTATTATGGATTTAAAGAATAAACTAAGAAATAGAAACAGCACCATCAAAACACATAAAGCAGGAGAAAAGAAGGTAAAAATTAGTAAACCTTGGCCAAGGAAACCAAGGCTTTCTCCTGAATCTCTTCAACAGGAACTGATTTGCGAGCAGCTTCTTGCCGAACAGGATCCTCGTACTACATTAACCCAGTTCAAAAATAAACAAAAGAAGTTAACCAAACAGCGCTTAGTGTAACAAATAGTGCATAGAATAATCAGGGTTATGAATTAAAAGACACCTGTAGGACCTGATCTACGTAAGGCCGAACCCTCTGCTCAAACTCCTTTGTACCTTCATTGGACTCGAATTGTTGGAAGAATAGAGCCTCCTCCTCTGCCTGATTGAAAAGGAAACAAGTCGTAAAGAAGAAAAAACAAGACGGACAATCTAACAAAAAAACTATCTAGATTATTGCCTGCAGCATCCGGGCCAATTCTTCATCGGACTGCCCCAACTGTTGGATGGATTCCGGTTTCTCCACTGCTCCATCTTCGATTGACACCAAGCGAAGCCCCTCCGAGATGGCCACGAGATCAGATTCTTCCGTGATGAGAATATCCCTATCACCGGCGGTGAGCTTAAATAAAAAACGATATAGCCCAATTAAGCACATCATCAAAGGAATTAAAAGGGGAAAATGTAGATTATAACTTGACTAGAAGACCTTTTGCTCGTCGGGAGGAACTGACGTGAGCGAGAATATCTGAAACTTGAGAACCTAAACAGAGAGAAAGGCTTCTATCAGTAAGTAAAGATAATAACCGGAGAGAAGGGCAGGTGGTAAGGGGATTTGATACTTCGAAGCCGTCCTCTGTGTCGTAATCGATGGGGAGTTCGGTGCCGTCGTAGCTGACGACGAATCTTCGAGCCACCATTTTTTTGCTCGCTCTTCGCCTTCCCTGATCCCTTCGATGAGCACACAGCCCCGATGATACCCGATCGGGAAACAAGGTGTAAAGTATTTAAAATGAAATAGTTTTATAAATTTTGATGTTTTTTTTTTTTGAAAAATTTAAGGCTTAGCCAGTAAATTAAAGAAAGAGGAAAGTTACATGTAAATGTAAACAAAAAAGGAACCCCAATCAAAAAAGGGGTAAACTCATAAGAGTACAAAAACAGCTCAACACAAGAGCCCAAAAACCATCTCAACTATACAAAAAAATGAATAGATAACCACGCCAAAAAAGAGCTCCAAAAGCCAAGAACAGGCTGGACTCAGGGATAAAACAGTCGAATCATAGAAGAACTCAAACCCCTTGTTGCCCAAAGATCATCCAAGGGGAACCAGCAATAGGAGCCTCATCATTGTCCAAGCCTAGACTAGAAAACCAGCTGGCGACAAATCAACAAAACAGCACAGCACAGCAGCAGAACAGCAAACTGCCGAGTAAGAGACGGTAATACAGAGGCAACCCGAGGCAACCATGCCCAGAATGAAACAAAAATATAGAGGCAACCAGCATGAAATCAGAATTCCCACCTAAATCAAATCCAAATAATGTGTATAATTTTTCCATTTGATAAGTTTCTCAAAAATTGCTCTTTTAATGCTATGGGAAGTAGTGTTGTGGCAATTGAAAATATTCACAAACCTCCTATTATTCCTTTCTTTCCAGATGTAGTAGATTGAGCAGCAAGAAAAAGCAGATAAAGGTTTTTAACCGGCTGTAAGATAGTGTTATCCCCGTCAATCCACTCAAAAAGCTGCATAATAGTGGGTATGAGAAGGAGATACATAGAGCTAGGCATTAAATCCAAGGATAACAAAGGAGTATGAACATTCAAAGAATAAATAAGCAATGCTTTTCGGATAAATTTTGATGTTTGCTCGAATATAAAATGATACCAAGTATAATAAATATAATGTAAAGTGAAGTACTTTATTTTGAATGTAAATCAAATTATTATGATTTTTGAGTGATAATCATTTATACCACAAATTTACTTGATCAACATCATCGTCGGCCGGCCTCATCAGCCGATCACAACAGCCGGCTGCCCTCCTCTGCCCGCCACCAATGCCATCGCCACCCACCACCAATCACTGGCGTTGTCACCGATGCCACCAAACATGCCAATCGTCGGCCACTGCCATTGTCGTCGTCCACCATTGCTATCGATCGTCGTCCACCGCCATTGATTGTTAACATTTAAGATTTTACTTTACATTTATTACTTCTAACTAAAAAAAATTCATTCACTGGCATTTACTTTACCTTCATCTAAACAATTCCAAAGTATTCCTTTTACGTTACATTTTCTTTACATTACATTCCTTTTTCAGCCAACCAAACAAACTCTTAAAAATAAATTGCATCGTTTATTTATTATTTTTAAATTTCATGATTTGTTAATATAATATTTAAATTTTTTAAGAATAATTATTTTTATAGCCTTCTCACCTTTCTATTTAATCTCATCTCATATATATGTATCTCACGCAAGTGGTCCCAACATCATGACTTCATCAACTTCCTTATTATTCTCATGTTGTCGATCACATAAATGTCCTTCGAGTAATATTTCATTGAAACTTCATCGTCTCTTCATGTTCAAACGTCATTGATCCCCTCAATACCCTTCACAAAAAGATTCCATCACAACTTCCTCGTTTATTTGTTATATGCACGTTGTTAGTCTCATCGATGTCCTTTCCAATGAGATTTCATCATAATTTTCTCGTGATTTTTGTCATTTGCACGCCACTGACCTCATCAATGTCATTCACAATAAGATTCAATAGAGGTTCGTGTCTCTTCATCATCCAACGAAGTTTTCGTTAATATAGTTAACAAAATGTTATGTTATAAGAATAATAAAAATTGTGTGTTAAGTTTGTAAGTGATGTAGTTTTAAGGGCAATGTATGTAAATCCCACCTCAATATTAGAAAGAGTATGTCATTTTAGAAAAAAAAAAGTTAATATTTGTGTTATTTCTTAAGTAATTATTTAATTTAGGTGTTATATGAGTAAATATGAATATTTAAATGTTAGATATGTAAATATATAGGTGTTGCACGTTATTCAGAGCAATAAAAATAGTTATATATATTTGCATGAAAATCCATCAAATATACATATAAAAGAGAAGAATACAAGAGACACCGGAGTTTTATATAAAAAAAATTGAGAATAACAAAATCATGAGGCCTAGTCCTATTGAAATAATCTATTATGTACTTTAATGTACAAAAATATGCATTTCTACACAATTAGAAAAGACAGTATTATAAATTTGGCAGTACTTATTTGATCTTATGCAATAGAGATTATGGGGAAATGGTGGAGGGATGATGAGAGGCAAATGATGTTAGTCTGACAATGATAGTTAAATGATAGAGATTAGGTGATGGTGTCGAGCGATAGCAATTCCAGGGTCGTAAAGAAATAATAGTAAATGGATAATGACATGTGAGCAATAGTAGTTAGAAAATGATGGTCAAATAAGGGTGGTAAAATCATCTCAATCAAATGATGACAGTCCACAATAGCAATTAAATGAGCACAATGTAAGTTCTAAAATGGCAAGCTAATGATAATGGTCCCCATTGATGATCATCATTGGAACATTGGTGTAAGACGTGCAATATGGTTTGTACTCCTACTCCAGTCTAGTCTTATGTTGCTTGTGTTATGATTGAAAGGGATGCCATGATTCTTCTTTTGTTCTTGCTTTTTCAATGAGATAACTTATTTTCACTTCTTAGTGCATTATTGTACTTGCTTGTCGATTGCTCCAAGTACTTTTTGTGCATTAATAACCTTATCAACTCATCATAATGAGGGTGGCTCTACAATGATGGTCAAGCCGTAATGATCCAGCAATGATGATTAGATGGTGGTAATCTGATTTTGGTGGTCCAATAATAACAATGTTTTGATGAATATGGTTGGGTAGTACAAGTCATACAAAGGTGGTCGAGTAGTGGTGGTCTAATGGAGGCATTAGGGCAATGCTCTGATGGCGATAATTGGGTGATGGTCTAATTGTGGTTTGTGCTTTAGTGGAGCTTTAGGATTCTTCAAACCTATGGCTCTCTTGAATCTCAAGCCAATGGGTCCTTATCAATTAGAGGGTTGGTGTCTACTTATAGATTTTTAAGAATGGTCTACCATGTAAATATGGAGAAAATCCAAAACACTTCTTCAAATCAACTATAAAATAGAAGTACGGATTAATGCTAAACAATACTTTATTCTCTTACATTGAGAAAGATATATTAGATTGAATTAATAATGAAGTAATTATTCTAACTCTTTCAAATAATTAAAAAAAAAAAAAACTCTTTCATAATATGAGGAAAATACGTTATGAATTATAAGTTTTTTCTTAACTTATATTTAATATTTATCATTTAAAAAAGATAATTTTAAAAACAAAAAATTAAAACTATAAATGTTGGTCTTAAGCCTCTATAAAAAATGTTGAGGTAATTTTTGAAAAAATAAATCTAGGCCCCACTATAAAAAATTTCACTGTCATCATGTCATGTTTTTTTTCTTTTTCTTTTTTGTAAGAGCTTCACTTAATATGATTGAAAACTTACTCTTTATATGTAATCAAATTTAGGAATAATTCTGAATGTGGAAAGTGTAAGATATTCTTTCTATAAGAACCCCAAGAAGCAAAATCATTTGTTCTCTCGATTATAAGCCCCATGACAGGAAAAGAAGAAGAGGCAGAGCGTACAGGACGAAGCAAGGAAAAGGAAATATAATTCTGTGTATTACTTAAGCAGTAGGTACAGTGGATATAAATAGAATATTGATATGTAGACTCTTGCAAATTAGTCAAAAACTTATATTATGGATATGTGATATGCTGATGAATTTTCTTACTTAGAAGATATTGAAAGCATTGTCAAAAAAATATTCTAGAGCATGAATGATGTTTTTATAACCTTTGTTTTCAAGCTAATTTACCTACTACAACAACATGAGTCAAAAAACTTTTTATGCTAGCTTTGAGTATTATTAAAAATCAACTATAAAATAGAAGTACAGATTAATGCTAAACAATACTTTATTCTCGTACATTGAGAAAGATATATTAGATTGAATTAATAATGAAGTAATTATTCAACTCTTTCAGATAATTAAAAAAAAAAAACTCTTTCAGAATTTGAGGAAAATACGTTATGAATTATAAGTTTTTTCTTAACTTATATTTAACATTTTATCATTTAAAAAAGATAATTTAAAAAACAAAAATTTAAAACTATAAATGTTGGTCTTAAGCCTCTATAAAAAATGTTGAGGTAATTTTTGAAAAAATAAATCTAGGCCCCATGCACTATAAAAAATTTCACTGTCATCATGTCATGCTTTTTTTCTTTTTCTTTTTGTAAGAGCTTCACTTAATATGATTGAAAACTTACTCTTTATATGTAATCAAATTTATGAATAATTCTGAATGTGGAAAGTGTAAGATATTCTTTCTATAAGAACCCCAAGAAGCAAAATCATTTGTTCTCTCGATTATAAGCCCCATGACAGGAAAAGAAGAAGAGGCAGAGCGTACAGGACGAAGCAAGGAAAAGGAAATATAATTCTGTGTATTACTTAAGCAGTAGGTACAGTGGATATAAATAGAAATGAAGAAAACAAGAAGACATCTAATAATTACAAGTATGCCCTAGGACTGTAAAGAGCCGTTAGCTCTTCTTATCCCCCCGCAAACTGAGCGCACATTACTGGGAGAATCAGTTTGTCACGGAGATTTTGAAATCTGGTAATAGGCAGAGGTTTAGTAAAGATGTCGGCGAGCTGATCGACGGAGCTGATGTGTTGTAGTTGGATTGTTCCGTTGTCGATGTGCTGACGAAGAAAATGGTAGTCAAGTTCGATGTGTTTGGTGCGAGCGTGGAAGATAGGATTCTTTGCAAGAGCTATGGTGGATGTATTATCACAATGGATAATAGTG